TTTTTTTTTTTTTTTTTTTTTTTAAAAGGGCTGGGTGCTGGGGCGGGCAGGACAGCCATGGGGAGGGGGGCTTGGAGAGCGGGCAGGGGCCAGGGGGCTCGTGGCAGAGCCCATCATGCATTACGGGACAGTAGGGGGATAGCAGGGATCACCCCCTTGCCTGGCAGCAGCCAGTGAGTGGGGGCTTTCCCCCCCCAAAGACCCAGAAGCTAGGGCTGGGCAGGGGATGGGGCCTGTGTGATGCCGTATCTCCGAATCTGATTCAGCCGAATCAATGCAGGACAGTGATTCAAACCACCGAATTGAATCACTGTCCCCCGAATTGGCTGAATCCAAATCCGAAGCAAATACTAGCCACTTCACACAGGCCTAATAAATAGAAGCTCAACATTTTTCAAATACACTACATTAACAAGGCATATAACAGGCATTACAAAGTGTTTATGTAGAGTACAAACACCTGAGAATTTAAAAAACAGATCTGGTTTGATTTCAAGTTCATGATTTTCATCATTTCTAATCGTTACTCACTCGGCATAGTGAAACCAATTAGAGCAATGTTTTCATTTTGTGCCTCAAGTAGTTTTATTTGTGCCTTTCCACCAAAGGAAGAAACAAATGTATAAACTGCCTTATTAACTGCCAGTCAGATAAGATTCATCCCTTGTGTTCATCACCTCATCAATCTTTCCCCACCACTTACATTCTCTGCACTGGAGGAAGCATCCATCAAATTCACATCCAAGCCTGGAAGTTCTGCATTGGGGGTCTGAAGAAAAGGGACAGGATGTGAGATGTCTTCACAGAAAATCATAAGACTATGTAGGATCACAGAAGAGAGAAGGGAGAGTCCACACTGCAAAGGTCATCCTTGGCAATAGCAGGACAGTCTCCTGTGTGTCACACTAAATTCTATTTACTTTATTGTAGAGCCTTCTGGCTTAAAAATCTAGAAGCATTTAGAAATTTCTCTTCATAAGCCTAGAAGGTAGGAAGTTTTTTTCACTTCTATCAGCAGCACTAATCTCCTATCAACCCCCTAATCTTAAATACACCCATTATAAACAAACACTACCCTTCCCAATATATGGAAAGCAGAGAAAAATACGATACATAGTAGGTGCATTTACAAGTTACCATATGGTACAACAGTTTAGTACTTCCTTTTGGAAGTACTAAAGCACGGCGCAGTACAGGCAGTTACTGGACCATGCACAAGAATAATTTTGTCAGTATGCTGCCATAGCAGTGTGCTATATCCAGGGAGCACACCTCTACAGCGACGTAGCTGGTGATTTTGTGTAGACCTGCATGATTGCTACATCGCCGTAGCGTGCTGTATGGCGATGCATAGATGCGCCCAGTATATCAGTGATACTTAAGGGTGCTATGTTTCTCTGGAGTGCCATCAGATCCTTTCCAGGGTGCTGAAGTGAATCACACATTAGGAAATACCTATACTTAAATTCATAAGATAAAACCAGAGATTTCCAGTGTCAAAGACATTTTGACTTGTTGTGGTCTTTGGAGAAGAACTGTTCTATTATTTTTCTACAGCCAAGAAACAAATGAAACCTAAGAGTCTGTATTATTTCCTGAGGGAAGCCTTAAGTCTAATTAAGTTGAAAAAGGCCACATATGGAAATGGACACTTACGTCACTATATGATTCAGAGTCAAAATTAAATTTCTTCCCAGACAGCATTGCTTGGAGCTCCTCAAGGCTGGCATCGATACAATTCAGGAAATCCTGAATCTCGTCCCTGGAAAAAAAAAATTAATACAAAATGCAGCCATATGCCAACTACAGAGCTAGGTACGAAGAATTCTAGGAAATGAGCTAATTGCCAAGTATTCATTACAGCTGTGGGGAAAAAAAAACACAACTCCATACAATAAGGGACAGTCAGGACCTAGAACAGGTTGTTAGCTACACAAAAGTCTCCTGGTCTCCCACGCCACACTTCAGTGTCCTGCACTATACAGTCCTATCAGACCAAACACACACACTGAACAGGGCAGTGAGACTTAACAGGTACCCTGGAACAGGTGGGAACTTAGACTTGACACTGGTATTTTGGAAATTATTTTTTCCTTCAGATGTCTCTTTCATACTAGATTTCTATTCCAGTACGTATGAGAGAAGGAAAGTGGGAGCGAGAATAAGATACTGTCAGGACCTCAATGGCATAAGCATGGCTAATTTTCCATTAGAAGTAGAGGTAAAATACATTCTTGCCGTGTAAAACTTGGCTGACAATGGGCTTAGAAGAGTTTGGGCTGAAACTGAAACACAGCAAGATGGAGTGAATGCTGGGGGCTTGAAAGGGAATGTATGTATGACCAGGTATGTAGGACTATACTTAAGACTTGAAGCAAAGTCACAATGTAAGGGCACTTGTTTCACTGCCTACTAAAGATAAAGCAGAGGCTTGTTTTCAGCCACCGGTGCTAAAGCATTCATAGCCAACTTGCTGATTCAGAACTGATCAATGCTGCTCATGACTCTCTAATTAGTTATTTCGCTTGCATCAAGCTCTACAGGGAACAACTGGTAAAGGACCCTAAGAACCAGCACTTGTGTAAGTAGGTCCAGCAGCTGGCAGTATTACGTGATTTTTTTTTATCACCTTCATTGGCTTCCCATTTCCTGTTGGGTGCACATCAAGGTGCTGATTTCTTTTTTAAAGCCTTATTATATACAGTATGAGTCCTGACAGTCAGAAACTCCCCCCCACAGCAGCAGAAGGAATCTCTCAATTTCAACATCCTCACAGAATTACCCTCAGCTAGACATCTGCTCTATCTGCTCAGCAGGCACAGTTTGTTGGGCTTGAGCGCATGGTACAAGATTCAGCCCTTTTCCAAAAAAAAATTGAAATTTTTGGAGTGGAAAGTTACGTTTAAGGGAGGAAACGAAGGAACTATTGTCATACCCCATTATCTACAAACCTCTAGGACTCTGTAATAGATGCCTTTATAAAATCAACACAAATTATAAGAATACAAGCATGTATCGAAATTGTTAACACTGTATTCCATACCTGTCCAACAGACTATCGTTTTGGGTTGCAGAGCTATTCTCATTCAAGATAGACTCTATCATGGATGCAGGGTCTTCTGGAGAATTAGTCTGTGGAGCATACAACTCTACCACATCCTTTTCTATTTCACAAGATTTGCGGCCATTGTCAATGACCTGAACTGGATAATGTGGTTCCACAGGATCCAACTCAACAGGTGGTGATGCTTCCTGGACAGTTGAGTCTGACTGTTGAACTGCTTGGGTCTCTCTGGGAAATACAGTGCATAATGAAGTGAAACTTAGAATAGCTTGGCTTCTGCAGCACGTCTTACTGTAGGTTTAATATTTCAAATGTCAATGCCTTGTCTTATTTAAAACCAAGTCCTGTGAATTCACAAATAATCTGGTTTCTTTGTAAGAGACTACAAAACAGAACATGCTTTCATCATAGACAAAGAATCAATTCAGCAGAAAATTCTACTTTGCCAAAATGGAAGCGTTTGAAGGTGGAGAAACAGTAGTGCCCTACATGTCCTCCTCCAAAAAAAATAAAAAATAAAAAAAATTGGGGAACATGTTAGTTAGAACCTTGGAATTCCCAAGACCTGAAGCAGGGTGATAAATTTGGCATTGGATATTAACAGCAGCTATCCAGGATAGGACACACAGGCAGGTTTGCAGAATCCAGGCTTTACATAACACTTAGTTTAGTCACAAACTGTTTTCACCAGGGACCAACATCCTTTTCCTGACACTAACTAAAGTGAACAAGAAATGCCGGTTTCCTTCTTTCTTAGTTTCCAATAGATTAAGCTTTGCTGCATTTTGTAAATATTTGTCAGGCTAGAGTTTTTAGTTCATTTGGGCTCAGGCTCTGAAGCCTTTCTTTCATTGTAGTATGACACTCTTGTGCTCGTTTCTTTTATTGCTCCTCCCAGACATTCTACAACGGTCTGAGGCTGAATGCACAAGAGCTTCTTCCCTTTAAACATTTTGTTCTGCATAACATGATCAGCTAACTGCTATTAGCACAGTACTAATGTGCCATATCTCCCTATTTTGCCAAATGCTTCGGCATATTCTTAATTATTAAGTGAGCAAATGATTGGACTGAATTAAATTCAAAGTTTGGACTTTGATTCAAAATGAAGCTATCCGCATTCATGAAAGAAAGAAAAAGCTCTAAGGCTGTTGCTAAAAAAGGGCTTCTGTGACACACCAGAAAGCTGATTCTAACACCTTAACCTGGGAGTGCATAGATGTATTTGAAAACTGAGATGGGCTATTCCATTTTTATATTCAAGAAATAAAGACAAGTGTTAAACAGGACTTAGGTGTGAGCCATTTTATGTCTTCATTCATACCCATCATTTCCACTCGTATGCATGACAGCAAGCAACCCTTCTGTGGCACTGTCCAGAGTGTTGGTGACATCTCGAATGATGATGCCCATACCATTCTCATCCTCACTGTCTGAGGTATGTCCAGAAATAGCTACCTGCTTGGTAGAGGAAACAATAAAAAAGAAATCAGTGATCTGGCCTATTCAGTGCCAGGTCTCCATTCTTACTGCAATGTTTATTTTCCCATTCAGATTTTTCTATTTCCATAGTTTTGGAGACGTATAAATGGTTTAACTCAGGGGTGTTAAACTTATCCAGCTCCTGGACCAGATGAGTGGTATGGGGTTAGTCCACAGACCTGATCAGGCCCACTGACTCCCACTTCCTCCCTTTTTCCTCTCCCTCTCCTGCTCACCCTCCGCCAGCATACCTGTCCAGTAGCTGCTGCAGCTAGTCTGAAATCTGAGCTGCATGTGCCTGGAGCAGTTGGAAGTGGTGCCGCTTACAGCACAGTCTGGCCAGAGCAGCAGCTGTGCGCATACGGTGGCTGCCCAGGCCAGATAATGTCACATGATGCCTGTTCCAGCTAGTCTAAGACCCACACTACACATGGTGCCTGTGACTGGTGTGTTGGCTAGATCCAGCCCACAGACTGGCCCTGCGTCCCATATGGGTCTGCTCAAACCCAAGGGCAGTGACAGGGGTTGGATGGTGGGACTGTGCAGGCTGTGCGTTTGACACCCCTGGTTTAACCCTTTGCAAATCAGATTCTAAAGTATTTAACTACAGCTGAGAATATTCATGTTTATAAGTTCAGTTATTAGACTGTGTACCCATGAGCACATCTAGCCCAGTGCTCCTGTCCCTGTCAAAACTTACTGTTTCACCATTCTCCACAGGTATGCGAACATACTGACAGCTGTATTTGGAAGGTGAAGCACCTGAAGCATCTGTCAAAGACCTGAGAAACGACAATACACTCTTAATGCATGATTAAAATATAATGTAATTTTTAGCAATGTCTGATTTCAAACAACAAACAAATAGCAGCTCTTGCTGAAACTACCTAGTTTTGTGAAGACAGGGATGCTATTTAAGTGATGCAGAACAATCAAGTAGGTACTTTTCCAGCCCTCCTAGAATGTGGATAAAACTTTCAGTGCATACTCTGTTCACCCTGTCATGTGCAGGTGGTAGAGAGAAGTGATCTTAAGATTTTGAAGACTTTCAAATCTATGTCTGGGAAGGAGTGAGGATTTGTTTAAACTTGGTGATTTTATACCATTTCTACTTAAATTGTACAACTCTAGATTTTCCCTCCCCCATCTTTTCAGTCCATTTAAAAAATAATAAATCAGCAAACAGGAAATTCTGGATATAAATTTTGGTATGTACTTGCATTTTTAGTTCTCTTTAAAAAAGCAGACTTCCATTGGTTGATAAATATAGCTTTCATTCTGAATTTGGAGCATTTTTTTAGCTGTACATGTTTATTTAAGAAAATAGTTTAAGATTTTTTTTTACTATGTCTAAAATAGTTAATGATTTTTATTTTTAAACTAGATGGCTTTTTCTATACTTCTGGTTTGTACTTACCTCTATTTAGATGAGAGCCAAGACTGTTCAATATTCAGAAAATGAGTTTTTAAATTATTTTATTACACTTTTTCTTTACATATGAATGTATTTTTTTAAAAGTACTGTGTTTTGTATTTAAGACTGATTTATTAAAATAAACTATTGGACATTTATACACACACTTTTCTGTCTCAAACCACATGAGAGATCTGTCGCTTCGGAAATGAGTTTGCTCCATATGTAAGCTGAAGTGAACTGCACTGCACGCATTTGTGTAAGTGGCAAAACGCGTGTTAGCGCACAGAAAATGCCAGCAGTGTGCTTCTGAACCAAAGCACCTCCAATGTGTTTTAGTTCAAAAGTGTGCTGCTGCCATTTTCTTAGCATTGATGCACATTTTGCTGCTTATGTACAACTGCAAGCGTTGCAACACCAGCCTGTTTTCAAAGCACCCAGCTCTTGCATGTGTAAAAATACCCACTGGGTTTAGAGGAAATTGAACCAATTGTTTCTGATCAATGTCTTTCAAAATGTTAGGAGTTGGTCTCATTCCCACATCTAATTATTACTCATAATTTTAAAGAGAACAAGGTCTCTCAAATTTGAACATTCTAGTCATTGCTCTAAACTAAAAAAGTAAGCATTCTCTCTGTACTTCCACTAAATAAAGTCAGGTGCTTCATCAGCAACTTCCACCAGCTTACTGACTTGACTTTCTTGAACTCTACAAATATGTACTGCTTTAATAGTATTTCAACAGAAACATTTGTGCAAATGCCTGAACTTACTTACGAAAATCCTTTTTTAAATTAACTTGTTAAACACCTGACAGTTACCTTTTCCTCTTCACTCCCACAATATAATTTCCTCTCATCAAACTTAGGATAAATTGTAGGATCTGAGGAAACAGATGAAAATATAATTAGCACACAGACTAATATCCAGACTTGACTCAGTACAACTCTGTACAAGCATAGATAAATACTATGATATACAAAGCATAGCTACAGAATTACTGATGGATTAATTGTAGGTAAATTTAATGCAGCCAATACCTACTCGTACTGGTCTTCATATTAAGAAAAAACCCACCTGAATTTGCCCCCCAAATTAAATTATCCCAGTTAGGAGTATTTTTAACCCTCTCTTCTGAGCTTAAGATTTATAAGGTTTGTGGAATACTGGACTCAGGCTGCTTGCAAATGTTAAAAAAAAAAATTTGCTTTTCCAGAAGCTCCTGAGTTACTTCAACCTGGCCCTGCAGCATCTGTAAAGATTGAACAGTTTGGCAGGGCTTTTTGGATCTTTTAGCTGAAGCTGATTCAATCAACTATTAGATAACAGCAACAAAAAGCCCCAGTAAAGCACCTGATTTTTACAGACATGATGCGAGACAGGTTGAACAGGCCTCTTTTGGCCATGCATGGGAATGCGCCAAGTTTAAAGTAAAGTGCCATTTTGGGTGTTTTTTTATGTCTGCCAGCACCACCAGTGACCAAGCTGGTCTGTTCCAGACCTACGATCCTCTCTGATCTACCAATATCCAACATTAACTATCATCACGGACAGGACAGCAGACAAGGGAGCTGCTTTACAGAAATTATTCCTATATTTGAAGCTTCACAATTTCTCACTGGCTTTGTTAATTTCAAAGTTAAGTATGCTCTGAATCTCCAAGATCTAATCCTACTTCCCCACAATCTCATCTTTCTGCTCACCACCCAGAACCCTGCCATACCCAAATTGCCATCTCACACAGGGTCTATGAGGCCTCACAGTAAGAAACAGATTATCTATTAACCAGATTCACCCTGCTGTCTGATGGTCTTTGCTTCAAGAGATTCAGCCTCCGTCTTTTTCACCCCCCCCCCCTCCCGTTTTTTTCCCCCCCCCCTTTTTTTTTTTTTTTTTTTTTAAAGACACGCTTAGTAGGGCTGTGTGAAGCTTTGGTTGCTGATTCGATTCAGCCCGATCGGTGGCTGAATCTCCGAATCGAAATCGAATCAGGAAACCCTTTAATTTCTCTGAATTGAATCAGAACCCTTCGAATCAATTTGGAGAGATTTGATGATTTGGACATAGACACAGCTTTAAAAGTTTTTTCTACATATCTCAAGATACCAGGCGGCTCATGAATGCTATGATGCTGGGGTGGATGAACTGTCCCACGGGAGCACGGAGGGGCTCCCTAGCGTGCTCAGTGGTGGACCCAGGAGTGGACCAAAAGTACTTCCGGTCCACTGCGGACCACACAGGGGACCACCCCCCCCGCCCACCGGCAACTGGTACCTCCTGGGTCTGGGGGGGGTCAGCCGGGGTCCCTCCCCCACAGCCGATCACCAAACCGGGGGGGGAAGAAATGTCCCAGCGCTCCTGTGGGATGCTCTATCCGCCCCACCATCACAGCGTTCACGGCCATGTCTGGTACCTTGAGGTATGTAGGAAAAACATTTAAAAGCTGTGTCTACGGCCAAATTGCTGTTTCTCCAAATCAGCATTGAATCTTCGGATTTGGCCGAATTGAATTGGGACAGTGATCCGAATCAACTAACTGAATCACTGTCCCCTGAATCAGGCTGAATCCAAATCGAATACAGCCTGTTTTGTACACCCCTAAATTGCTTAGTCATTTTTTCCTGTAACTCCTTCTTAGCACTCCTCTCAAAATTTTCTGTTACAGTACTTTTAGATGAATAAGAACTGTGAATGCACTTTCAAGACTGTACTAATAGAGCCTGTTCAACTCTGTCATTTGTCATTCTACATAAGCAAAGAATGCCCTGAAGTATCACAGAGGCAGGAATAAGGATGGTAGCACTGAAGATGCTGCAATGGTACCTTAGACAGCAGCTTCTGTTGTTGACTGTGCTTCTGCCTTAGAACTGCCACTTCCTTCCACAAGGCCTTATTTTCTCTGCAATGCAGAATAAATCAGAAGACAGCAGATGAACAGAGAGTTTATTTGATACACTCTAGTTCCACAGTTTTCAGAGTCTAATATTAGCCTGAAGAACCAAACATTCCTTCCTCAGGAAAGTGAAATCAGTGACTCAAGCCCACCAGTTCAGATTTTGGCTTAAACTCACTCCATCCCCTACCAGGCTCAACCAACTGTACTGAGAATTTTAATACTCTCTGCTGCTCAGCTTGATCTGAGGTGTCCATCCACAGCCTCGAGTCACTTAAGTCCTTAGAAGAAAGCTGAGAACTTATGTCCAGAAATAGACTTGGTATAGCATAGACCATCTCCATATGTAGTCCAAATGAAAATTTCAGAGAAACACAGAAAATGACTAGGAGTGGGTAAAAATACCTAAAGAGCCTTGGTTGATGCTGCTGTCTTGACAGAGGTCAAAGTGTAATAACCCAGCATCCAGATAAACAGGTCTGCAAGGACAGACTTGGACATGCAATGCCCACTTAAACAGAAACTTGCAGACCTTCTCTCAATTCCAATTGACCCACTTTTGTGTTAAGAAGGCTAACATCCCTCTTGCTGTATAGTAGAAAGGCTGGCATAGCTTTTGATACTGATTATGAATCTGACGGTCCAGAGGTTCCAGATTGGTAACTGTGGTCTCAGAGATGTTAACTGAGCCACATAAACAAATAAGACAAAATACTGCAGTAGGAATTATTCATGGAAAAATGATACCATGTAGACTCATGAGAGTCTTACTAATAAAATCTACACAAGCTGTGAAACTAAGGTCTGGTTCTTTAAAAAAAAAAAAAAAAAAAAAAAAAAAAAAAAAAAAAAAAAAAAAAAAAAAAAAAAAAAAAAAAAAAAAAAAAAAAAAAAAAAAAAAAAAAAAAAAAAAAAAAAAAAAAAAAAAAAAAAAAAAAAAAAAAAAAAAAAAAAAAAAAAAAAAAAAAAAAAAAAAAAAAAAAAAAAAAAAAAAAAAAAAAAAAAAAAAAAAAAAAAAAAAAAAAAAAAAAAAAAAAAAAAAAAAAAAAAAAAAAAAAAAAAAAAAAAAAAAAAAAAAAAAAAAAAAAAAAAAAAAAAAAAAAAAAAAAAAAAAAAAAAAAAAAAAAAAAAAAAAAAAAAAAAAAAAAAAAAAAAAAAAAAAAAAAAAAAAAAAAAAAAAAAAAAAAAAAAAAAAAAAAAAAAAAAAAAAAAAAAAAAAAAAAAAAAAAAAAAAAAAAAAAAAAAAAAAAAAAAAAAAAAAAAAAAAAAAAAAAAAAAAAAAAAAAAAAAAAAAAAAAAAAAAAAAAAAAAAAAAAAAAAAAAAAAAAAAAAAAAAAAAAAAAAAAAAAAAAAAAAAAAAAAAAAAAAAAAAAAAAAAAAAAAAAAAAAAAAAAAAAAAAAAAAAAAAAAAAAAAAAAAAAAAAAAAAAAAAAAAAAAAAAAAAAAAAAAAAAAAAAAAAAAAAAAAAAAAAAAAAAAAAAAAAAAAAAAAAAAAAAAAAAAAAAAAAAAAAAAAAAAAAAAAAAAAAAAAAAAAAAAAAAAAAAAAAAAAAAAAAAAAAAAAAAAAAAAAAAAAAAAAAAAAAAAAAAAAAAAAAAAAAAAAAAAAAAAAAAAAAAAAAAGGAATCTAAGACCAATACACAGATGAAGCTGAAAAACGGACACATCCACCTCTTCATATTAGCCAGTCTGACATCCATGCTATTCTGTTGCTCTCTCATTTCTTGAACTTCAGAAAGCACCTTATGCAAATCTTCCAAACAGACTTTGAGATCCTCTGTTCTCATTGAAGATGCCTAAAATGAGATCAGGTCACAGGTGCATTAGGGATCTTACTCAATTGCACATTTTGCTTGAATAAGGAAAAACATAATTAGATTGAGCCTACAGATGAACACTATGCAACTGCATCATGGGATTAGAACGGATTGAAAATATAAAGCTACAGCCTAGTGTGCTGTAAGAGGCCACCTTTGGTTTGACTCCCAATAGTTTGTGAAGGCACTTAAAGATTGCTCATGATTTTCATTAGGACCTTATCAGTACCACATGCATGCGCACACACTCACCCACACATACCAAAACTACGCAGAAAGATAAGCAGTGGCTATCATGGCAGGGCTACTATTATACAAGATTTTATACTGAAAATGCAGCATGGATTCAGAATACTCGGTCCTCAAGGGTTCTCCACATTACTGATGAAACGAAAGCCTGCTCCCTAGACCTTGAAGCAAAGTCTGCCTTAACCCAACAGCACAAGCAAAGCGCTGCTTGTTGCTCAACAGCAATAAAAGCAACATCATCGGTTACTTTTCAGCACAGAGATCAGAGATTTGTTTTAGTCCTCTGTGGCATTTACAAAGACCCAGCCACTGTGGTATCACCATTAAGTCATTGCAAAACAACCAATATACTTAAGGTTCTAGTTGCATACATTTTACATTGCTGAAGCCCTTCTTCCTCCTTCATTCAGATCTCCTCCCAACAATATTCCAACAGTGCAGACATCTGGCCTTACTACAGGTCCCCTTACAATCCACTAGCACTGTTCTTGCAGCTGGTAATGAGCTGAAGAAGAGTCTCACCAGAATATACACAAGATGTTCTCTCTCAACTGGAGGGGCAGAGATCTCTTCTTTAGAATATACAGTCTGAAGATAAATTCAGGCACTTTATATTGCTTACTGAAAACAAAGATATAAATCAGAAACCAACTGTTTGGAGAGTAGCACCGATACACTATGGCAAAGAATGCAAACCACATGGACATAATTCCTGAAATAACCTTAAAATACAAAGGATGGATTAATAACTCAGTAATTCTTGCCTAGCCCTACTCTACGATCTTGTGCTAGTGTGGCTGAGGATGCCAGTAACCAAATTTCAGAAAGAAACCCTGGGAAGTGAAAGCAAAATGCTTCCTAACATCCTTGGCTCAAAGGCCCTGAATTTCAGCCTGCATTACTGATGGGAGCCTGAAACCAAGTTTATAGCAGGCACTACAAGGCTGATTCTCCTCCAGCTAGTAAAACAGTGGGAAAGGCTGATAGCCATTTTATTCACTGCAAGAATTGCTCATATTTGCAATACAGTAGAAAATAGGTTTACCAGCCTGATCCATGGTTCAGTTTAAGTGTTCCTGGCATTAACTAGATACCGGACCTTTAGCAATCAAGGCAGAAGACTCCACCTGATGGAACATTCTTAGGAACCATATTACTGTACATAACAATATAAATGAACTTTTCCAACATGTGTGCTCTGCAGAAGCAGAAAACGAGACTTGCAGACAAAACAAGATAATAAGCACAGGGCCTGGACATCAAAAAGGCAAGACACCAGCCATTAGATGAGGTTGGTCCATTGAGCTGCCGGCCCTCAAAGTTCCAAGGGTTAGTTTAAAGCAAATCACGACTCCTTGAACCCAGCCAGCAAACTATTCATTCTATATACAACTTCCTTTCATGAACATGCAGACATGCATGCGTGTACAAACACACACACTCTGTGCACTATACCTTGCGTTTGATGTTTTCTAGTAAGTGTGCTTTCCCTTGTTTGAAGTAAGGATGCTGGAACTCAATGACTGAGCTCTTCTCTGCCATAATCATGCCATTCTCCAGTGCAATCACCTTCCTGAATCCATCTGAGGTGAAAGAATAGTGCACTTATTTCTCCTAATAGCTAAACTCAAGTTAACGCTCACTCTTACAACAGGCACTTCAGTAAAAAAAACAAAACAAAACAAAAAACACCAACAAAATCAAGTAGACTAAAATATCTACAGCATACAAGAATAGTGTTAGAGAATGGGAATTTAAAGGGACCTCAAGGGCTTTTCCCCAGCTTTCAACCACTTAGCTGTAAAGAGTTCTCTGCCTGCTGCTGAACACTTGTGGTATTGCCAGCACTACTAGAAAGTGTTAGCACACTTCTTACTCCCAGGAAACTCAAGTGAAGGCTAGTTGTGCAGCATGCATAACAAAGAAGGTTAAGGGCTACATGTGAGTGATTTCTAAGAAATCAGAGAAGTTAAATAAAATGTAAGCCTTATTAAAGAACATGGGTAAATTCCTGGCTGCACTAAAGTCTATGAGATTTTGAGGTCTCTGATCTCTTGCTCCAGCCCTCTCAAGCAACTAGATGCCAGAATACTTATTTGTCCTGTATCGCCAGGGACCAGAAATTGACATTTAAGGACCAGTGAGTAGAACTCAAACTGCATTCACAGAAACACATATCCTTCTTCCCACATCATTCAGCAGACAGGTGGCATTAAACAGCATGTCTCATCTAAAAAAAGCCTGGTGAGACTATGTTCTATTTCCATCAGTGTTTTAAATACTCTGAGAAAGTTACAAGACCCATTTCTAAGTGGTAATGTGAATCCTTAATTCTCCCAACTAAGATGTTAATTATGTTGGAAACTTTAGAGCACTGCATCCTGACACCATTAGGGTCTGAAAACTGAACTCAGCCTGCTCAGACCCAACTGGATACAAGGCATCACACTGTGCTTCCACAGGGAGATAGAGGAGCTTTAAATGTTGAAGTCCAATTTCACCAAAAGATTCTTAACCACGTGTTCATTCCTTTAATCCTTTGACACACAGAGTTGGAATCTCAACCACTAGACACTAAGAGAAACAAACAAATGCCAAGCGGTTAACTGAGTCTCTTATCCCTTGTGTCTAATATGAGAAGTAAATCAACTCTGTTGGGGTTGAGTCTACAAGTCTACTCAGCCAAGGACACATTGTTCCTCAGTAACTTCACAACATTCCCCAGTGATTAAGTGAGAGTATCACTATCAATCCAACCCAAATTCATTTAAGTTACTGATTTATATACTGTGAATGTACTCTATATCCTCCTTTTCCTTCAAAAGGGCTCAAAACAGAAATAGTTTCCTTTGGTTAAAGAAAGAGGAGGATCCTGTATTTGTAACGAACTAGATATATTAGGATTTAGCTCAAATTGGGGGTAAGTCAGGGGCTTCCCTCAAGTTCTTTCCTAGGAAGTACTTGCTGAGTTGCAAATATTCTACACTCTAATCAGAAATGCCAAGTGATGAATATTAGCAGTTTCACTATGACATATTTCTGTGTGGTTTTCTTCTCCGCTTGTCCTTTGAAGTATCTGAATAAAAAAAGACTACAGAAACAAATGTAACAGGACATACAGTATTTGGCCTGTGTCATAACATCACACAGATATGCTTGCTTGGCTGAATGTACAAGCTGTATTATTTGTGGTGCTGTTATGTAATGAACACTGCACCATATTTACCAGGAGGACTAAAAAGAGTTTAGCAAGGAACATAAGCCAACCAGATCTACCAGTGTGGCTAATCTCATTTCAACATAATCATGGAGATAACGGCATGGACAAATATTTTATCTTCCAAATAACACGTGAAGGAGTATACATGTGGCCTTTGTTCCTTTAAAATCATTCATAAATTCAGTATGCTAGAAAATGAGGGAATTATTAACACTGTTAGGGCTAGGATGAATTTCTCTGCTAGACACCAGTTGTGAGCTAGGTCACATATAGATCTCAGAGACAAAAGCCCAGTGTGCTCTCAACTTCAGCCAATTACTCCCTTCTTTATATACATTCCAACTGATCCCCAGTAGTAGGGAGCTTAGCAGTTAACATATGAGAAAAATGGATACTTACACATGTTGAGTTGACGTATGAAGCTTGAGAGGTTGTTGTGTTTGAAGTATTTAGGAAGGAGCTCCTTCGCAAATCTCTGCTCATCCAGAATGCAGAAGTTTTGGCCATTCTAGAAACAGATTAAAGACCAAATGGAACATTTCCATGTTACTTACATATGAACCTCTTCCAGGCTGATAAATCACTGAAATGTTTTTTTATAGCTTGGTGTCAATTTAATTCCCTAGTGCAATAGCAAAAAGTATAACACTAGAGGAGATACACAAAGAATATTTCAGTTGACAGGGAGGTCTGCAAACACCTTACAACTAAGTTTGGCCTAGCCATTTGAAAACATCTCTCAAAGTCATTCTGATGACAGATCTAAACTCCTCTCACATCTTCAAGAAAACAAAACCTTTGTTTGTACAGATTTCCCTTGATTTATGTGATACATATGTTCCTGGAAAATGTCACATGAATCAAATTTGCATAAAGCAAACCTACTTTATAATGTAAGAAATAGGGATAGGTTCCTGTGTCGGCTGCTCCTGGGGCCGCTCCAGCACTGGCTGGGATGAGTGCGGACAAGCGGAGCCCCGGGTGGTGTGGGGCACAGCACTCAACCCAGCCCTAGCTGCAGCAGCCCCAGGAACTGCCAGCACCAGCTACCTGCAGCCACTGGGCTGCACCATGCCCAGAACCCCCTGGGCTCGACTGTCCCCACTCACCTCATCTCCTACTGTACTGCCTTGGGAGTGGCCGATGCCAGCTCCCTGTAGCCACTGGGGTGAACCGTGCCCTGGTGCAAGCAGCTGGCGCTGACCGCTCCTGGGGCCACTGCAGCCGGGGATGGGGTGAATGGGGCCATGGCCCTTTCCCCTCCCCCCACAGACTTACCTGCTTGGGAGGGGGCAGGCATCTGTGCTGATCGCATAAAAGAGTGAATTTACCTCACATATAACGAGTTATGGCTCTAAATATCGCATAAAAGCAAATTTGCATATCAAGAACCCACATAAATCAAGGGAAACTTGTACAGCTTGGAATTTGTGCCACAAGAGGGCTCTCTCACTCAGCCCAGGACAGCTCTCCTCCTGATAACATTCCTTATGGCTAAAACACCATTATAAATAACTAGATAACCTCAGAGAGAGAGGCTGAAAGTACAGAGGGCACAACACAGCAATAAAAATAGCTTTCTAATGGTGAGCTAAATAGCTTCAGGTTCGTTCTACTCCCAAATTTAAATTTGCTGGAGGTGAGCTGGTCTTTAACCATTCTGCTGCTGCTTGTGCAGGCACACTGGAATGGTGAAGCATCTTCTCATCCATGTCTTTTTTTCCTGCAAAAGGCCAAGAAGAGCCACCAAATCACTGCACTCAATAGGGGTCCAAATGACATAGGATTTAAATATTATCTGCGCTAACCAATTTTCCAGCCAGCCTCCACGATCCGCTGGCTGGAAAATTGGCTCCGGGGTCGGACCCAGAGGGTCCCAGATGATCTTCCGAGGTCCCTTCCAGACCTGATGTCTATGAAATCTATGAAATCCACCTGTGCCAGGTCGCCTGAGTCCTGGACCATGAGGAGTACATTGTCAGCATATGCTGACAGGACCAGCTGCACCGCCGGCTCCCAGAGCCTCAACCCCTCCACCCACTTCCTCAGTCGAATGAGGAAGGGCTCCAGGGCCAAGGCATATAGCTGGCCTGATAGTGGGCAGCCTTGACACACCCCTCTGCTGAACGGGATGGGCTCTGTCAGGGTCCAGTTGAGCTTGACCAAACACTCTGCAGCAGCGTACAACACCTGGAAAGCCTGCACGAAGCGGGGCCCAAAGCCAAAGGCCTGCAGCGTGCCTGTGAGTTACCCATGATCCACTCGGTCAAATGCCTTCTCCTGGTCCAGGGATAGGACGGCGAAAGACAGGCCTTCCCGGCATGCTAGCTCCAGGAGGTCCCGAACCAGGTACAGGTTGTCGAAGATGGAAGGTCCGGGCACCGTGTACGTCTGGTCAGGATGGATCGTGTCCGTCAGCACAGACTGCTGGCACAGCGAGATGGCCTTTGTTCCCACTTCGTAGTCCATGCAGAGAAGGGACACAGGACACCAATTTCTTAGGTCAAGGGGCTCTTCCTTCTTCGGCAGGATGATCAGCACAGCCCTCTGGCACAATAGGGGGAGCTCCCCACTTCCCTCAGATTCAGCCTAGACTGCAGCAAGGTCTGGGCCAGGGATGTCCCAGAAAGCCCCGTAGAGCTCTGAGGTCAGCCCGTCAATGCCCAGCGCCTTGTTGCCAGGCGTCAGGCGGAGGCCGCCCGAAAACTCGGCCAGAGTAAGAGGAGCTTCCAGCCAATCCTGGTCACCCACACTGACCTGCGGGAATCCCTCCCACAGGGTCCGACAGGCTTCGGCATCAGTCGAATCCAGGGATAAGAGCTCTTCATAGAAGGCCCTCACGGGCTGGTGCATCTCACCTGGATCCGTGAGGGGGGTGCCATCACCCACCAGAAGGCAGGTGATGTACTCTTTGGCCCCCCCATCTCCTCTCCAGGGCATTGAAGAAGCGGGAGCCACGGTCCATCTCCCAAAGGAGCTAGATGCGCAAGCGGACAAATGCACCATGGGCGTGGTGGTCGTCCAGAGCACAAAGCTTAAAAAAAAAAGTTAAGCTTTTTGCTTCAAAACATGTTTGAACAAAATTAGATTTCACAGCAAAACCCTTTGCAACAAAAGCTAAATTATTCAAAGGAAGAGCAGAAGCCATTTTTGAATCCTTAAGTCATTGCTAAATAGAACTATCATTTTCCATCTACCTTTAGAAGATACAATACACTGCTGCCCAATAGCAGGCCTAGTAGTATGAGAAGATACTTTTTAGGAAGTGTTTGTAGAGAGAATGTGGAGGAATGAAGCCTGAAGGTTGCCCTGTCTCTGATCTCTCCCCTTTCACGTTTGAATATTGAACAGTGTTGCTCCCAAAGCCTTGCTCAACAAGTGGATCTAGAACACCAGAGCAGTAGGTGGTGTATATTCTTAAAGCCCTTTGAACAACACTTATCGCCACACACAACTCAAACAGCTCTTTCTATACTATTATGAAAATAAATTTGATATCTAAATATTAGTTTTGCAATGAGACTAAATGGACTTTATTATAAGTAACAACCAGGCTTCAGAAGAGAACCAAAATCCAAGGAGACATTCACAGGATCATTACAGGATCCCAGCCACTAGTGAGACACCAAAATATGTGTCTGAGTTGCCACATTGCCTCATAGGAGCTTGAATTTGGATGCTTCGTGTCCCGTTCTTTTCTACAGGCCAGGCAACCTGAGTGATGACACCTCCCATGATGTCCTGCAGCATTTCAACCAAAGGGAAATGTTTGAAATCCGTTAGGAGAGCAAACATTTATGCAAGAAGCTGAGCCCAGAGAGGAGCACAGTGCCATGAGGCACCTGAAACAATTTCTTGAAACACTATAGCACCTTAGAGACAGAGTCACCCTTTTGGGGTGGCATTGTTGTGTGTGGGGAGGGGAGGTGGGAGGGAAGCAGGCATGAATTGATGAGAAGATCCATCCAAATATCCATTTGTCAGACAGCATTTTTTGTCATCATAGCATTTGGTTAAGGAGATTCACAGCCAGTTCTGCTCTTCATGCACAAGCAGGAACTTGTGGGGAGGGGAGCAGGGGAGATTCTGGATTATTGAGAGGCTTAGAATGGAAACTTTACTACTGCAGTACATTGCTGGAGCTGTTGGAGATAACTGTTTGTTACATGGATAAGGGCATTAGTTGTGGGAAGAAAACTTCAGTGCAAAGGGACATCCAAGCATAACCTTCTGCCATCCCAGCACAAATTTCACTACAGGGTTATTAATTTTTTTAATAACCTGTGAATATTCTTGAAATTGCCATAGAGAAGGTAATGTCATATAAGACATGGAAATATGCATATTCAGGTAGAATCAAACAACTTATCTAGTGATCACCTATTTCAGCTGGGGGAAGAAATATCATGAAGTTCAATAAGGATAAGTGCAAAGTCCTGCTCTTAGGATAAAGCAATCCCATGCTCCAGTACAGGCTGGGGACTGACTGGCTAAGCAGTTCTGCAGAAAAGAACCTGGGGGTTACATTGGAAATAAGCTGAATATTAGCCAACAGTGTACCCCCTTTTTAAAATTTAGTTTCAAGAGCAAAATTAGTTCTGAATTCTACTGGGCAAAGCCCAATTGTCTAGTTCCAAATTTCAATTGAGCAGAGGTCAATCGTTCAAGTCTGTGTGGCTCTACTACTAGGCAAGTATCCTTCCCACAGGGATCAGTCTGGGGCTTCAGACGCTCCCCAAATCTGTGGCAGGTATTCTACATGCAAGCCCAGGGCCCAGAGACCCTGGTGTTCGTATGTCCCCATGTCTCACTTTCTCTTAGCCAAAAGGCTGGGGAGCAAGCCAGGAATAAAAACAAGCAGTTTCCCATTGCCACAAAATTGTGTAGTTGGGTTTCCCACATTTAGGGAAACTTGCAGGAGTCAGCCTGCCTAGAGTACCATGGACAGGTCTCACCCTGGGAAAACCACCTTGGGGAAAATCACAGGGGTCAGCATGCCCAGAGTGCGAGGGACAGGTCTCACCCCGGGAAAGCAATCTAGTTGATCGTAGTGTCTCCCCACTTTGTTGATCATGGCATCTCTCCTGAAGAAGGCCAAAGGCACACTGGGCTGCGTTAGTAGGAATGTTGCCAGCAGATCAAAGGAAGTGATTTCTCTCCCTTTGGTACTGGTGAGGCCACATCTGGAGTACTGTGTTCAGTTCTGGGCTCCCCACTACAGAAAGGATGTGGACAAATTAGAAAGTCCAGGGGAGGGCAATGAAAATTGTTAGAGGGCTAGGGAACACGACTTATGAGGAGAGGCTGCTTGAGCTGGGCTTATTTAGTCTGGAGAAGAGAAGACTGAGGGGATTTAATAGCAGCCTTCAAATACCTGAAGGGGAGTTTGAAAGAGGATGGAGCTGAATTGTTCTCAGTAGTAGCAGATGACAGAACAAGGAGCAATGGTCTCCAGTTGCAGCAAGGGAATTTAAATTAGGTATTAGGAAAAAAAATGCTCACTAGGAGGGCAGTAAAGCACTCAAACAGGCTACCTACCCAAAGAGGTTGCAGAATCTCCATCCTTAAGAGGTTTTTAAGATCCAGCTAGACAAAGGCTTGGCTGGGATGATGCAGCAGGGGTGGTCTTGCTTTGATTTGGGGGTGGACTAGATGACCTCCGGAGGTCCCTCCCTACCCTAATTTTCTATCATCTGATCATAGATACATTACAGAAGGGAACAAGCAGGCAACACCCGCTGCAATGGATGCATCAAGAAGGTCCCTCGAGAATGCTAAAAGTGTTTTCCAGTCAGAAACAAAACCCAAGCCTTTCTGCAAGGAGTGAAAACTTTAGCAAATTTTTTTTTTTTTTTTTTAATTAAAAGGTGAAATAAAAAGCAAACCATTTCAAAGGATAAACAAATGGTTCCTTTCCATCAGAACAGACCTTTTCAAACTTTACATAAAACAAAAAGTAGAATAAAAAAAATTGTGATTGTATCAAACAGAAAAAGCAAAATACACCTCCCCCACTAAAACAGGAAACCTAATTCCACTCTGACGAAATTTTTCTCAAGTTTTTTTACTCATTCACAATTTCAAAATGTCTCTCCTTCCATGAAGATGATCTGTGTGTACTGGGTTGACACTAACAATTTAACCCTGGTCCACACATTGTGAAAGTGAATTTGGTAAATGTTACCACCCTTCCTTACTAGGCAATAAGTATTGCTGAATTACTGCATAGGCTGAGAGGAAAAATGCCCATGTAACAAATCAGTGTCTCTCCCTTCCTCACTTCTCCTATAGGGTGTCACCATTTGGGACAATCACCTTGGGAAAAAGAACAGAGAAGCCCCAGATGGTTAAAATTAATACAATAGAGAGAACATTGTTTTAAGGGCAAAGAAAACCCATCTGACAGACTCCATATATTTTGTTGTTGTTTCCCCATTGGATCTCAAATTCAACAGTAACAAAAATACCAGATGTTCCCATGCCACTGGTTTGCATCTCTTCTACCTACCTACATATTAACATTTAGATCTCTAGGGGTGGTGAATTTTGTCTCACCTAAAAGTGCAGACCATTTTGCTGGTGGGTTGTGCCCATGAGTCCCAATCAGTCATTGAGCAGACTACCTCTTTCCTGGACTTACCAAGTAGCAGGTAATCTGTGCTCAGTACAGCAGGTGCTTTCTCACCAGTATTCCTTCCAACATCCTTTCATTTTTACTTCTGGTGTCATGCCCCATTTTCATGGGTTCCATAGTTTTTGTTCATTTCCATGAACTAACTCTCCATCTCCAAAAGGCATGACATTGTCATTTTGCATAGGGGGCCCCCATCATGGACAGTTGGTAGTGCTACGGGAAAGAAACCAGTCTAATTTTGCTTTACATTATGAAACTGGTCTGGCTTGTGTCCCAAGATGAAACTGGAGTCAAATGAGGGTCACAAACATAGGAAGATGATTCAAATGTCCCCATAATTTTTCAACATTTTGGAGCTGTCACTTGAAACTTATTACTGCGCAATACACTGTAGATTAATTCTTAGGAAAACTTATCAGATGTATGTTTTGCAATAAAGCTTCAATGTGTTATTTTGGTCGTACCATTCCCTTCCCTTCCAACTATTAACATAACTTCTTAAAATTCAAAGGCTAAATGTCCTGCAGAAGCCAATAAAATCTTTCCCCTTCCTTATGTGAGTAACACTTGCCAATTGCACTCACTCCAAACTTGTCCCCATTACACAAAGATGCAGCATCCTTTCCCCATTGTTTTGATTATTTGGCATACTCATTCAGGACAAGAACCATCTAATGCACCATCTCCTTCTATGTTATGTGTTGCTGACAGCTCTTTCAGTAGCACACGCTACGCAAGTCTTGGCACTTCAGCAATATTGTAGAGGGAGCCTTCTGCTGCTACTGATGGGCTTGATGCACCCCCTTGAGAAAGCCTGCAACAGATGCATGATGACATACACAATAAAAGATGAGACAAGCAGTGCTGATTTTACAATCCTGGAATTTAATTACTTCAATGTGTGTTCCTCCTCATTACCCAACCTCCCATCCAGAATATGCTGTTGTCAGGAAGCTTGCATAAGCATATACATTTCCAAAACATGATCATGAACAAAACATCATCAGCAGTTTCCATTTCCTTTTTAAAATAGGTGTTCTAGTTTGTTAACCATGTTCTTAAAAAGGGGGGAAGGGGGATGTGGAAGAAATCTACACAAGACAAAAGAAATTGTTTGCAGTGATGTGGAAAGAGGCTAGGTTCAGCTAATGAGTCCAGAAAAAAAGTGAAAGAAAACAGCACCTCACCAAAAAAGGGGAAAAAATAAAAAATAAAGACAGTAGCAGAAAGTGCAGATATTTAAATCAACCTTGCTTAGATCAGAAATGATACAAGACCAGACACTTCCTGATCTACGTCATTTGGAATTGGTTTGAAACAGCACCAGAAGAATCCGGTTTATGCTGCATTGCTCCTGCAGACCAAATTAATGTATTGCAAAAAAAAAAAGCACGAAGCTACAACATGCACATACTCCTACGCCCACCCACCTGCTTCTAAAGTTCAAGGCTGTAGACCATTTCACTCTCCCTTAAACAACAAACCTGCCTGGGACACTGCATATTTAAAGAGACAGCAATTAAAAATATAAAACATGAAAAAGAATATAAGTAAAGGACAAGTTACAAAAGTACTGAAATAATTAACTTAGCAACAGTGAGGGTATGCACATGCACAACACACACTAGGAACACTGCTCTTGTTAACTCAAAGACTCAGCAACAAAACCAACATAAACAAGGTTCCCACACACCCAACATGTAACTTGCATTGTTCAAGATAGATTCATTTTGCAACTAGTCAAGTTAGTCTTGCTAGCCATTCCATGTTTCAATTAAGGTGACCTGGGTTCTTGACAGTTTAAGAAGAAATAAGAATATTTCATAGCAATCCTGTGGGTGAAATTGGTAATTCTGTAATATTACAGAAGTAAGTCTTTGCTCAGCTCCTGCAATGAATTCACCATTACTCTGCATCACAAGCTTCAAGTGCAGGATATTACAAGCCTAACTACAGGACTGTGCATCAAATCCAGTCCTAACATGTTATGGCACTAATAAACACTAACTTTCCAGAGTTGTTTAGGGACAATAACTTGCCACGTAGTACAGAAATGCTGTTTTTGTGCTCAGATGGAAGCAATTTTATAGGATAAGCTTTTTTTTTCTTTTTTAAATAATGGAGCAGGAAGTGGTTCCAAGAATTTGCCAGTTTCACCACAGGGAGTTCTTTGGCTAAGGCAAAATTGGGCCCAATGTTTCAGAGCACCATGTGAACAAGAGGATACTGCGAGTAGAAGAGAGGAGCATTGAGGAGATGTTCTATGATTACAAAGATCAACATCGTGCAGCCTTTTCTGGTTTGTCCAAGTGAGCTGCGAGGGGCATAAAAAACACGTGTCTTGCAAAAAGCGTGCTTTTTGCAAAGCAAGGACAGCTGCTGGACTTTGCCCAGTGTCTCCCAGACTGGTAAAATCCTTGCTTAAGGAGAACATACATGCAGGTCACTTATATGCAAGTTATGCCAGAAAACTCTTCATGCAATGTGCATGAGAAATAAGCTTTAGGTAAAGTGCAGAACCAACAAAACACTTATAACTGTAGCAATGAAGAGCCACCAGCATGCCCTAAAGTAATACACCATGTTAAAAAATACTATTTTCCATAGGAAAAAAAAGTGTTGTCTATATTAAAAAGCCCAGGAGCAAATCTAGGAGTAGGAAAAAGTGCCCTACACAGATGCAAATCATCCAACCCACAGACTTAATAAAAGAAGCATCTCCCGGCTTAGTAGACAAGTCCCCTAATGAAACAGGCTCTCAAAATAGTACAGGCCAGGTTACAATACTCCATACTGTTACTGGCCAGCTAAAAACTGCTAATCTTTACAATGGAATACAAACAGATCCTCTCTTGCAATGAAATCATTGTATAAAAAAAGTTGTATTTATATGGAGTTTGATCATCTCCCTCTGGTACCTTCAGTGCTGTGTAGCTCTTGTCTTAAACTTGCTTTTATCTTTCTTCCTGGATTGCAGGAATAAAGTCCTTCCAATGTTTTTGTAGACTACTAGGCCCAGGAGAATGGTGGGAGGGGGGAGTAGAAGAGGGTGACAAAGCTTGTCGCTGATTCTTGTATCATTTCTGCACATTTTATAGCAGGAAGCTGAGTTTAGGAAGGTTTTTCCAAGTTCAAGTAGTTTCTATCTCTGAGGCCTCTTCTATAAAGTTAGCAACAGGACTGAGGAGTAAGAGTGGGAACAGTTTATACTCCCCATTCGCATCTTCTGAGAGCAAGGGCTGGTCACCCATTCCCAGTATATCTGGAGGCTCGGCTTGGTTCACTGGAGCTGCCACTGAGGAGGCTATTTCACTACTTGAGGAAAGAGAGATCACAGGTTTCTCCTCCAACGGGGTCAGGAGGAGATCTTTAGGATCCTCCATCTTCCCTGAACTTTCAATTGAAGGCAACTCTTCGAGAAACGAAAGCAAAGGATTTCCCCTGTACTGTATCACCTGCATGTCTGTTGAAAAGTAAGATAAGAAACCAAAACCAGTCAGACTGATAAGAGGTGCAAGAGTAAGGTCTTATCCAAAAGGAACGAAAGGAATTACTTCCTAAGTTCTTTACTTGAAAAACAAACAAACCAGCATGACCAAATTTTGGGCCACAACCAAGAGGATCCAAGGACTGCAATTAAAGCTTGCATGAAGTAAGTAGGATGTGGCAGACTGTCTTCAGCCTGATGATAATCACTGGGTGCATCAGCACATGTGATTAAGATGAAGGAATAAACTCTGGCACAGTTTGCGCCAGAGTAGACACCATGTCTGGGAGCAATGTACATGTGTGCCCAGGGTAGCAGCAATCGAAGCTGGGGCAGAGCAGGGTTGGGCTGGCAGGGGAGACATGGGGCCAACTCTGGGCTCTGGTATCAGGGCTGGCTGGGGCACAAGGGTGCCCAAAGTGCAGAACCATGTGGCTGTGCAGCAGGCAGGAGTCTGGCTACCTACTGCTTGGGCTGACTAGGTGAAATTTATGCCCAGTCAGCATCCACACGTGTGTTTAGGCACAGTTAATTATTCCACCATAAGATAACACTGTCCCTGACAGTGCTATCTTATAGTGGCGTTAGTTTCCCACAGTCTAATAGTGTCACATATGTAGACTGTGACGCTTTACTTTGCAGCATATTAGCCTACTGTGCAGTAAAGTACGTGTAGATGCAACCACTGAGCGTAATGCATTCATTGGAGTCTAGCCTGCCTGCTGGCTATTGTTACTTTATTTAGATGGTCTCCCTTACTATCCTCCACAGTTGCTGTTAAATTTTAAAACTCGTTGGTTCAAACACATTATGTTACTTCAACCTTGTAAGTGGCTGTCTGTCCCCAGATCTTCAAATCTGAAGACATGCTAGGCCTTCAAGGCAGTGAATTAAAGGAATTTTTCTCTTCCTCTGTTTTCTCTTACTCTGAATCTAGTCACCTTCCCACCATCTGCCCCTGCTGCACTCCTTTCAACTTTATACCTGCTGTCAGGTTGCACCCTTTGCATGGAGCTACTCCCATTTTTCATTTAATCAAGGTTCATCCTTCTCCCCAACATTCCTCCTTTTGTAAGGCTTTCTTTTTCTCTCTCATTGTGTATTTGAAGTTCCCCTGCCTTTTCTATTAAGTTCCAAGGCAGAGATCAAGGCAGTTCCTTAGGCTGGGAGCATGTACTCTAAGTGTCAAGTGCACTAACCATGCTGCATTACAGGCATGGATGGAGCAATGTATTCTTCAGAGCTATAACCTGAGCCCCACATCCATTAGGAATGGCAGCTGGTCTCCTCTCCAATAACATCAAGGTGGATTAGCATGTGACCAGGGCAGATGGGAAAAGGCAACAATGAAATCTAGAATCCAAGACAATGGTGCTACCTTAAACCCCCAAGAACTTGACCAAGATTCAGTTTAGTCTATAAATTCCCACAAGCCATCAGCCCCCTCCCCCACAAAAGCCTTAACTATGGAACAGACTGGGCTCACAAATATAGATGTGATGCACAGAGAAAGCTATACGCTGATTTGTTTGCAACATAAAATTGTAGGCAAGTTCCCTGCCCACCTTTGTTTCCTGATGTTTCCCCCTCAGTTGCTGCTAGCTCTTCGGTGCTGTCGGGCAATTTCTCAAGCTAAAAGGGAAGAAAATACAGAGTAAAGCATCATGTATAGTAGAAGGGAGTTTCTAACTTTTTTATTAGCAAGTTAAATGAATAGGACGTAAAGGAGAGGACAAGCACTCACGATATTAATCAAAACCCATATATACTTTCTTTCCCTGTAAGCTCTCATCAATCCAAATAAAATGAAAGCAGGTTTTCATACCCCACAAGAAATCTATTTGCTGCCAATGAGGGCCCGGGGGGGGGGGGGAAGAAAATCAGATAGGCTTGGTGCTATATGGATGAAAAATGTTCTCCATCCAATTTTGGAAGAATTTGCTTTCTAGAAAAAAACATTCCCCCATACAGATTCATTTCATCCTAAAACAAGAAGCTCTATTATTCAGCATGATAGCCCATGATAGAAATGTTTTAAGTAATATTTAAAAGTTAAATCCAGCCAATAAAACCTGACAACATTTTACTCCTATTTATTTGATCCAAAACAAACTGGTGAAGAAGTTTGTTTGAAAAACGAAAGGGTTCTTTTTAAAAGTTTGCATAATGAGAATCCATATTCACACAAGCTGTCACAGCAGAAAAGGAATTTAAGAACTAGTCTAAAAACCATCCACACATGGCAGGTCTCTCCCTTCAGAAATATGCTGAGAAGATGCATTTGATAAAAAAAAAAAAACAAACCAAAAAAACAAAAAACAAAACAAAAAAACCCACTTTATTGGGGTTTTCTGGTCACTGTGAAGACATAACAAAGTTTTTCAGCAAATATTTGTCTTATTTATTCCCCTCAGTTTGCTCACACCTGTGCTAACCAGATGTTAAAAAAAAACAGCAATCTTGTTTCAAAAGAACCTTGTCTTGCAGAGATGACTGACTGATTTTTGGAATTCCTTTCTATTCCCCAGTAACATATTTGTAAATAGGTTTCCCTACTCCAATATTTCCCCAGCTGCATTCAGAAAATAAATGTGACCCATGGCAAAATGAGGGCATAAATAGTAGGGCTGTGCAAAGCTTTGGGTGCTGATTTGGAGGAGATCTGGCCCGATTCAGCGCCTGAACCTCCAAATCCGAATCGAATCGGGGACTAATCTCCAAATCAATTCAGAAAAGATTCAAAGGGCTTTGGTGATTTGGGCAGTCTCTGGTCTGCTGCAGTGGGAGCTGGACCTGGACTCCATGCTGGTAAGCAGGGGGCGGGGAGGCTGGAGGAGCAGGGAGGGGGACCATGGTGGGGACTCCTGCCAGGCCCCATCCCTGCTCCTCCAAGCCCCCTTAGCACCCCCCAACCCCCACGCGCTCCCCCAGCCCTGCCATGGCTGTCCTGCTTAGCCCCAGCTC